GTGTAGGAGACTGATTGAGAATGTATAATGCCATATTTACAGCTTCTACCCAATAAAGATTTGGAATTCCTTTGCCTTTTAGCATGCTTCTTGCTATTTCGACAATGGTACGATTCTTTCTCTTAGCTACTCCATTGTGTTGTAGAATTTTGCTAATTGTTAGCTGCCTTTGAATGCCATTAACTTTGTAACATTCAATTAAGGGATTGTAAAGAAATTCTCTTCCACGATCGATCCTCAACGTCTTTATTAGAAATCCACTTTGTCTTTCTGCAAGTGCTTTAAACTTTAGAGAAGTAGATAATGCCTCAGATTTTTTGTTCAAAAAAAAAATCCACAACATCCTTGTATAATCATCAACAAAGAGAATGAAATATCTCTTATTTCCAGGAGTAGGAGTTTGCATTGGTCGACAAATATCTGAATGAACAAGTTCCAATGGCATTTTTGCTCGCCATGAAATTTAAGAAATGGAAGCTTATGCATTTTCCCATAGATACAACCTTCACGCACTTTGTTTGTCATTTGAATTTTAGGAAGCCCAATAACCATATTTTTCTCCTCGAGCAATTGAAGTCCTATGCCATTTAAATGACAATATCACAAATGCCATAGATGTGACAAATCTGTATTTTCAACTTTGAGTACACAATTGTTGTCTAGTGGTAACATGAGACAAAAGGTTTTGTTCTTCATTTCAACATTTGCCACTATGACATTTTTCTTTTTATCAAAGATCTTGCATCTTTCATCAACAAAAGTGCAGCGAAAAATTCTTTTGCAAGAGTTGTACAATACTTAAGAGATTATATGAAATATTTGGCACATAAAGAACATCAGTATTAAGTTCTCTGTTACCTCCCCTTAGTTTGGACTGCAATGATGCCTTTTTCTTCTGCGCTTCTTTGTGTTCCATCTCCAAGAATAACTTGAGAGATGATATTTGGATTGATCTATACAAAGATATCTTTATTTCCTATCATGTGATTGCTAGCACCGCTATCCAAATACCATTTATTTTTGGATTCAAAGTCATCATTTTGATGAGAATAAAATAGAATTTCATCTTCACTCTCTTTCAAAAAATTTGCACATCTTCATTTTTCTCTTATTTTGAAACCAATAATCCTTTTGAGAATGATTAGGAACTTTGCATATTTTGCATTTGAAATAGCAATCTTTTGATTCATGATTGTTCTTTTTGAAAATAATGCAAGATTGAGACTTACCAGATTATTGTGGTGCATTGGCTTTCCAATTGCTTTGCTTTTCATTTTGACTCCACCTGATAAACTTTCCCTTTTTATTATTTGAACCTCCATGATTGCTTGAACTTATTTTTAATCTTGCTTTGATTGGAAAGTTTGTTCGATTGGTTGACTAGCCAACGATTGATTCTTTGCTCATGCGTAAGAAGTGATCCGGTCAACTCATACACAGTCATCTTAGACAAATCCTTTGATTCTTCAATTGTGGCGGCTACATGATTGAATTTTGAAGGGAGACATTGAAGCACTTTTTCAACAACTCTTTTGTCTTTAATTGTATTTCCGCAACTTTTGATTCGATTTACAATCTCCGAAACTCGTGAAGAGAAATCACGAACCAACTCCTATTCTTTCATTTTAAGATTATCAAAATCTTTCCATAAATTTTGAAGTTTCAAGGTGATAGTTTTCTCCAAACCTTGAAATTTTTGATCTGAAATTTCCATGCATCTTTGGCTTTTTTAAAACCAAATATACAAGGAAAAATTGATTTTCCAACTCCTTGTTGAATATATCGCAACGCCATTGCATCTTTCTTTTTATATTCCTTTTATAACTTTGGATCTTATTCATCTCCTTCGGTCGAATCTTCTGCCACCTCATCCTCTTCAATGACATCCTGACACAACCCGCCCCGTGTAACACTACTGGATCCAGACGTGGCATGCGCCGATGATAGATACCAACTAAAAATTGGATCCACCATCAAAGGTAATACAAGTACAATTTATCACTTTTTATACATCATTTTTCTCACAAAATTTAGACATTATCTCCCCTGTAAATATGACTAACCAACATGATATCAATTTCACACAAATCCCAAACTATAACACAATACAATAAAGATAAGTCGAAACCTCAACTTTTACCAAGAAATAAAATGAAATGTACATATAGATACAAAATATATGGTGAGCCCCACAACTATCTACAATTGATGCAAAATCACATCTAGACATGAACATGAGTCCCAAAACACTGACTACATGTTTTATGAAATGTGTCATACTAACAAACTCTGTCGTGTAGCTCTGACTTCAAAATCAAGGCTCAACTTCAAAAGATGCTCAGATACTCAACTGCTGTCTGATAAGGAAAAACGTGAAAAAGTATATGAGTTGATAGTTCAATGAGTGGAGAAGTTCAAAATAAATATACTTTTTCATTTATATATTTTTATTGAAAATCAAATTCATATCATTTGATAATTCACAAGCTACCATCATGTAATTATAGCAAAAAAGTGAAATATTCACATAAGGTCATAAAATATCATCTTAAAATCATAATATGAACATCAGCTCATAATCATGCTATAATCTCATCACATCGAACGTGCTGAAAAATTCACAAAAAATGTACCCTCTGACTAAAATATGTAATTCGCCCCTCAGGCTAAGGATTTTCGTACGGGCCTTTGGCCCCCTCCGTGAACGAAATTCGGTCTCAAAAACCTCTCATAATCAATTCTAGAATATGGCCAAGGCCCCTCAGTAAACTATATGTACACGGTTGAGACCCCTTCATCCCCGGTCCAAAACCCATCAGTGTAGTATAGAACACGACCAAGGTCCCTCAGTGAACTAGAAGAAATATATAATCACAGGTGCTTTTCTGGTCGATCTCAAAATCATATCTCATATTTCAATTCATAATGTATCGTATACAATCTTTGAAATCTCACATGTATCATAATAAAAGATATTTTCATAATAACCATGTAATTCAAATACATAATTGTGCATACCTTAACAATATATTTAATTTATAAATACTTTAAAAATATTTATATTTTTTCACTCACAGAACCATATACGCCAAAATCAACTCGGTCGGTAAACTGTCTAGATGTCCGTATTGCTGCCTGAAATATAATATAATTTTTAAATCAACAATTAACTATTTTAAGTAATTTCAATAATTAAATAGGCGATATCAAAACTTAATTATTTCACGTTTAGACAATTTCTAAAGTCTCTTTAATTACTAAAACTAATTTTTCTTTCATTTTACTCAATTTCATAGATTATTATACTTAACCCCTTCAATAAAATTGAATTTAATCTAACAATCTAACAACTATAAAATCAAACATAACCTTTCAATAAATAACTTTTTACTTCCCTTTCAAAATTGAAAAATTCAAGCATAATAGTATAGAACACTTTATTCCTAATATGTTGGCGAATTTTTTCTATTTTTTTCTTTCCTCTCTTCCTCTTTTCTTCTTTTTTTCTTGTTTTTCTCTCTTCTTCTTCTCTGTATCGTTTTCCTTTGACTGTGTATTGTGTGTGTGTGTGTGTGTGTGTTATTAATTAATAGTTTGGATAGATTTATAATGAATAGTTTTGAGTTTCCACTGCTTGCCATGTGTGTTTTTTTTTTTTTTTTTTTTTTTTTTTTTTTTTTTTTTTTTTTTTTTTTTTTTACTTTTGTCATATATTTTTATTTTTTTGGTTCGACTTTTCTTTCCATTAATTTAAGATATTACACATCCCATAAATCTAAAGAGATGAAAAAAGCTTGCTTTTGACTACTCCAATATTCATAGTGCTCATCTTCAAAAATTGGTACTTGACTTGGTGAATAAGTGAACAAAGAGGCTGTTGTATTTGTTGCCATAGTTGCCCTGTTTTTGTTAAAAAAAAAACTGTTGCTGCTGTGGTGGTTTTTGAGGCTGATTTTATTTCAGTTTTTGGTCGGAATTCGTTTATGTATTTAACCTGGCTTTGATACCAAAATTTGTTGGGTATGGAAGGAGATAATTGTGAGAAATATGATATTTTACTTATGAAATTTGAGAGATTACAAAGGAATTGCTACAGCACACTCTTTCTCTAATTTTTTGAGAGATTTTCTCACTTCTTCTACATTTGTAACACTAGATGGATACCTCCTTATTTATAGAGAACATTGAGTAAGCTAGCCCTAAGAACTTATTACAATCATAACAAGATAACATGTGTAGTTTATCATCATTTGCAGCTGTTGAATCTTCAATTCCAACTGTATTTGAACATCAGACTACTGCTTCAAGATAATTACCAGATTCTAGCTTGCATTGTTTGAATATTGAAGTTGAGTATTCAATTTGAATTGAAAATCTTATCCATTTGACCATTCAATGAATCTTCCTTTGTTGCTTGAAGTATTCAATTTGAATTTGAACTCTTTGAAGATAGATTACAAATTAATCTTTTAACATTGCTACCGTCAGTGATTATTCTAGAATGGTCCTACGGCAATGTAACGGTAGCCCGGAAAGTTCAGTTCAAAGTCAATCTTGCCATAATGCATACTCAAATGATTACCCAATCAAAGACTCCAACTGATTTCTTCGAAAACCCTTATAGGGCCGATTATGATATCTCCACGCTCGAAGGCGCCGGTCAAGCACACACCTCATAATAATGCGCATTCTTGGACCAGAACCGTAGTCGACCCAAACAATCCAGTCGACATGCGGGCCTTGTACTCTGCCGCTCGAGACCCAATTTTCTTTGCTCACCATGCAAATGTTGATAGGATGTGGACCATATGGCTGAATCAAGTCAAAGGAAACAATTTTACAGACACGGATTGGTTAATCGCCTACATCATATCCCAGTCGTATATCGTGTTTTTTAATATATCTTTAAATTTCTAACAATTTAAGACATTCCTCTAGCAAATTTTCTACATTCGTATCCTCTAAAAATATAATATAAAATTTTAATAAGATTTCAAACATAAATTATTTTGGTCATCCAAAGACATTAGAATAAGTAGCCACTAACTACAGACTAAATGGAAGTGGCAAATAATCCGTCCAGATTGGGAGGAATTACAATATATAATAATAAGAGTTGCATATGGAATGCTCACCAGAGCAACGACATTATCGCAAAGTTAATAGTTATTCATCATATGTACATGTCTATTGCACAAAAGAAAAAGATTTCTGATTGATTATTTATTGAGGATTCAACAAAATAGACTAGAAACCTTCTTCTAGCCTTTCAGTGGTGAATCACATCTTTGACTGTCTACGGGTCAGACTGGCTTCGATTGATCCGTGTGGTTCATCTGTTGGTAAATATACGTCATCCTCAAACTGCATTCAGGGAAATCGACAAGCATTAACTACGAAAATAAGTGCTGAAAAATATGAAAGAAATGAGTTGTGATCAATTGTCCTTTCTGTATCGTGCTGAAAATGAAGGCAGCCTACCTTAACAATAACTGGATTTTCTTTGCTTGATAAATTGACTGGTAGAAAGTGAATATTCGGCATTTTTAGCTGAACTGATGATATATCAGGAAACCTGGAAACACAGAAATCAAAGAGTTAAGTTACCACGTGAAACCAGAATCAAGTAAAGCATTCCATAAATTTGAAAAAGAATTGTACCTGCCAAGAACCGCCTTTGCCATGTAATAGAGAGTACTTTGAACAGACGGGCTGTATACTCCCTCTTTAGGATGGCCGAAGAAAGTGTCAACCAAAACCTTTTTCACATCCGTATATCTCTCCAGGAAGTAAAACTGTTTTGTTGGTATACTTTTGATAGTCTCAAAAGAGTACCTACATCAAGAACTAGTCTTTTGTTAAACATGTTTATATCCTGAAACTTCAAGAACAAGAAGCAAAAGTCTGGTTATCAATACAATCAAGATCAGAAAAAGAAATCAACATTCCATGAACTTCTCAACTAAATTGCATAATGGACGGAATCTTTCACAATTTACCTCCATAATGCTGTGACTTCTGTTGCCAGAATCCTTTCCCGTGTTTCAGGCAATATTGTGTATTTATCCCTGATAAATCCTTCAAAACCTGACTGTCATAGGACAAACTCTACAATGAGACACCACCAAGGAAATCATTTGAAGCTATGCTATTGAAGATAATATTTAAATGATTTACATTTGGACCAATATAACAGCTTAAACTTTCTAGATCGGATGATTCAACATGATATCAGAGTAGGCAAACGACCAAGGTTCAGGTCTCACCGCCACCCATTTAAATGAATTGTGCACATATTAGGCTTTTATGAAAAAAATGAATCTCGCCTACCCGTGAGAAGATATTATTTAAATAATAGATATTTGACCCGATCTAACCCTTAAGCTTTTAGATCTAGTGGTTCAACATATACCCTTAAAGCTCCTCGTCATAATGTTATTAAAGTTGTTCTGTTTGTATATGGCAAATTGCCTGCTATGTAAAGGTATCAATAGAACTTTCTCAAACAAGAGATATTGAAAGATATAAATCAAGGAAAATGCATATCGAATAAAAGATTAAAGAGAGTTCTTACTTGGGTTGTCTTCAGCAATGCTAAACCCTCGATACCAGAATCCACCCTGACAGCACCCGATTTCTTTACTGTGACTTCAGTTGTATGCTTCTCAGATCCAAGCTTGAAACCTTTAGAGGAGACATCGAAATAGCTCGTTATAATTCATAGAACTGACAGCTTTCTCCATATACCCAGCAAACAACAATTAAAAAGAAAGAAAACACACAAGCATATTGAAAAATATGATTCCTCACCACCAATCTTACTAGTAATGAGTAAAAACATAGACAAAAGTCTACTATGAACTGAAATCGAATGTATTTTTTGGTTGAAACGAACAACTGAGAAGTATCAGATTATTTATAAAAATAAAATCGTTTATTACGAGGCACGCTACCATGAATTCAATTGCATGGAAGCCTTCTAAAGAAAACAGCTCTCCATATATTTTATAAGATCTAGGTAATACAAGCATAACAACATACAGTGATGAAATATGCAATCAATATATAAGTGGATATAAGATTTTAAGACACTGAGAATAAAAAGGTGTAGATTTAAGTAGGTGTATGGCCTGTATCATGTTTCTAAGGAATACTAACTGAGTTTAACCCAGTAACATGAAGCATCCAGTGGCCTGGATGCTTTTACCACCAAAAATCTACCATATGTTCTACAAACTTTAGGGGATTCAAATTTCTGAAACCAGAGCATGGGGCAAAGACATTTTTTCCTTTTAAATGATGACATGTGCAATCCAATTTTAATCTGCAGATGTTCATGGCTAGCAGAATGTTGGGGTTTGGTAGATTCGACAATCACTCTTTCCTTTTGAATTTATTCATTCACTCAAGGTTACAAGAGTGAGAGAATGTGAAAGTCTCGTCCCTGTTCCTGTTCCTGCTCCTTAGAAAAAAAGTTCAGCTCAACAGTACAAACAACCTGTTAACATACCTTAACATCTACAACTACACCCACAGAGAGTGCAATAGCTTGAGAAAAATTCAGGTTTATATAAAACATCTAATTTTTACATGCAACTCTATTAACCTCAGATATGTTTGCAGAAGATTCAATTAAAGTATTCCCGTTTATACTATAGGTGGAGGAAAGATTTAGTATAAGTAGAATAGTGTGTTTGGAAGGACTTCTCCAAAGCCTAAAAGGATTTTGTGGAGCGAGTGCTTTTGTTTCTAATATTGGCTATTTGGCTAATGTCAAAAAGGACTTACTGACAAAAAAATGGTTAAAAAGTTGTTTTAAAGAAGCCTAGATTTTGAACTTCTCTAATAAGCTCTAATTGAGCTTTTAAGGGAATTTTAATTTATATTTAAGTAAGCTTTAAATCCATGTTTTAACTTCAAATCTAAATAAAATCAATATAAAGTTTATAAAAAAGCGCTTTTTGGATAAACTTCCAAACAGTCGACAACTTTTTGATAGAAGCTCCGATATCAAAAGCATTACTACTACAATATATACTTACAACGGCTGTACAAAAGGGACCCTAACCAGAAAATAAAAGAATGGAAATGGCATGCACACATAACTAAAACATATTTCCGCAACTATTCTGTTTAAGGGAAGGCAGTTATAACTGAAATATAATTGTATTAATGATTTGCTGCAAGAAACATGTATAAATAGAGTATTTTTTTCCAAAAATAATCTTCGAAATCAAACACTGACCGTGTTCATGTGGTTGACCATCTATGTGTATTCGTTCCCATGGTTTCTCCACTACCTTGATGATTGCAGCTTTGACCTACAAAACAGAGGATGAGATGAAACCATCCCTGATCTTGGTGTATTGCGTAACAAATTGTAAGTCAGAACTTCAGAATCTAAAGGCTTTAGGTTGATTATTTTTAGTAATAGTAAAATGTGATATATATGAGCTTAAAAGGTAAGATCCACATAACGATAGTTAAATCAGTCATAGTATAGGGAACCAAGTATTATACCATAAAAGGACAAGGTCCACAAGATGAATATAGAGGAAATGAAGAGGCTAAGTTGGATACAAAATCGCATTATAATAGATAAGATGAGAAAGATGAGAAACAAGACCATGCTCCATTAAATGGAGGTGGAACTATTGAAAATAAACCAAGACAAGGACAACTAACATGATTGGGCATGTATCTTGCAAAGATTAAAGGTGCTCCACACCACACAAGTGTAATCCGACCATTACAACAAGTTATAATAGGGAGAAATAGTCCAAAATTAACATGATATGATTTCATGAAGAAGAATATGATCGCATTGGATCTAGTAGATGTAGGATAGAACTGACTGAGTAATGCAAAATGATTCATGTAGCCAGTCCAAATTCATGGGGATGATGCTTAGATTCTTGTTTGCTGTTTCTACATAATCTCAAATGGGATTCACATGCGGGTCCACATTGATGATATTTTGAATTAAAAAAATAGCTGGATGAGATTATATAAGGGTGTTAACATTTGTATGAAATTATTATTTCACTCCCATAGTTTGTGTTGTTAAGAATCCAAACCAATCACAACTTGTAGTCATGAGTTTTAAATCCATATTTATACGATCATCAGAAACACCTGGATTTAATATTCTTTTAAAAACCCTTTCTCAGTTTATGTCATAGAAATTTAGGGGTGGGCAAAATAATCCTGAAACCAACAAACTGACCAACCTGATATAGGTCAGTGTTAAGCCCATTCTGTTCAATTCCCAAAAATTTGGCTCGATGATGGGGTTGGACCTACCCTGACCTTTTTTTTTTTTAAAAAAAATGACAATGCAAGTTTAAATTTAAACCATTTCAAGTTTTAACACAATTCCCATACCCACCCAATCGCACCCATCAATCTTCTTCTTTTCTCCCTCTCTCTACAAAGTTTGTGGCCCTACCACGAGTAGGTCCACCACCACCACCAGAAGTACAAACCAAAGAAGATTTCAGATTTTGTTTTTGAGCAATACTATAAATACAGATTTTTTCTACAGAATTGATACAAAAAGACAATTGTCTTCCTGTTATTGGCTATTGTCAAAAATAATTTTTGGCAACAGGAACACTGCTAACTAACAATTCTATTAAAAAAAATCTGTACTTGCAGAATAATTCTTTGTTTTTCTCCAACTTTGCCATCAACGCCATTTTGCCAGGTTGGGAGGTGGAAATCAAATCGAAAAAGGGAAGGAACAAGAAAGATTATTGGAGACCATTTATTGAAAATTGGGTACAATTCAAGCGACCATTTATTGAAAATTGGGTACAATTCAAGTGAGACCTTTTCTTTTCTTTTCTTTTCTTTTCTTTTTTTTTTCTTTTTTTTTTCATTCTATACTGGTAAATTCTTTTCTTTTCTTTTCTTTTCTTTTTTTTTTCTTTTTTTTTTAAACATTTTTGTGGTGGTGGTGATGGTGATGGTGATCTTGTGGTGGAGGACAGGAAGGTAGTTGTTGTATTGGGAGGGTGGGATTGTGCGAAATGCTTTGGGGTCAAATCAAACCAACCAAAACATGTTCAGCTTGGGTCGGGTTAATTCGATCTGTGTTAGATTTTCAATCTCTTCGATTTTTGGGTTGGAGTTTGATTCAACTGGACTCGTGCCCACCCATAAGTAGAATCTTAAGTCGAAAATTTTTACTCCAACTCATTGTATCTCAATGCAAACTTAAAAGTTACAACAAACCACCTTTGATTCTTAGTTTCAATTAACAATACTGCATGACCATGCAAAATAATAGTTCAATAACATTGGCTAATCTAACTTCTATATTTACCTGCTCATAGAAGAAGGTGAAGTGTTTGCCAAGTATGATAGAGAAATCCTCCGGCGAGAGTTGTTCGCTACATTCTTTGGCTTTAACATATACCTGTGTCATAGCCAATTAGTATAAAAGAGACAATTACATCAATAGCGAACCAAATGTGCACAAAATACAGAGGTGGTCCAGTTATGGATGGGAGAGTGTCATTACATAATTTGCACGAGAATATCTCGAGTCAACAATAGACAAAGCGATGACAATATGCAGGCCTACTTAAGATCTCCTCCAAATTTTTGAAGTATGACAATACATCAATTAGTCGAGGGGTAGAGTTCTGGGATTTTTTCTATAAAAATTAAAACAAAGGACGATTATATAAATTATAATCTAGCTTAATACATTTCTGTGCAGGAGTAGGGCTCCAGTCGCAATAATTACTTTTCTGTTTTTCCTTTGGAATTTTGCACAATTAGTCCTTAAAGTTTAGCACCTCCAGCAAACTCATCCCCAACCTTCAAAATCAGACTTTCCAGAACTCAACTTTTAGTACTTTTTCCATAATTTCATCCTTTTTACATAATCTGGTCACTTGATGTGCACATGCTAATTTTTCCAGTGGTAAAGTGGGAAAAATAGGCTTCACACCAACCTAATATTTGACCTAAATGTTGCATTCATTTCAATTCCAAAATCATAAAGAAAAGACCTTTTTCTTTTTTACGCACAGATCTCACAAAAACTTAGTTAGGTGCACAATTATTAATAACGAAAGTTGAGCAGAATGTTTGAAAAAGCCAAGTCTGGCAATAACAATGAGTTTTTCACATTTTTTTAGTTAATTCGAACATAATTGTAATTTTTCTTCACTTATTGAGAATGAAATTTTTTCGTATTTATGTACATGGACAAATAAAATTTCCATTTAATTTCCAGTCTCTCAATTTTTCAAGGTCCGTATGATCAAAACTTGACTATTTTTAAAAAATAGTTGTTGATTCCCTGTTCTGCTTTCTTGACTATTTTATTTGAATTTTTATGTTTAGTTAACCCAAAGTCAATTAATTTTGTGTTTACTTAACAAAATTTATATTTAAATTTTATCATTAACATTTTAATAAAAAAAAATCCTAATTAAACCCTACATATTAATATATCAAAACAAAAAAAAAAGAAGAACTTTTCGACTCCGTAATTTAACATGCAAAATCGTACACCATTATAGTTTAAAAGTTCTTTTGAAGTGTTAATAGGACATATTTTAAAGAACAAAAAAAAGGATAAGTCTTTATCTTAATTTTTATTTTTTATTATTTAAAATGTGTTAATGTGTT